CATCTTCTTTATTGGCCTTTTACATCCCAGACTAATATATAGGGGCCTTAATGAAACTGAGAATGCAGGCAGAATTATCACTCCTGTTTACTATCGATGTTGCATGTTGCCCACGTGAAAAAAATCTGTTAACTTCTTTTGGAAAAGTGTTAGTACTCCCATGATTTCTGGCAAGGACATGACGTTTGGTAGGTTCTGTGTCCAGGATATGCCTTTGGCTGTCATCATGACAATCTGGCCAAATGGAACCAAATTTTAAGTCTCTAACAAAAAATCTGATTTAATATGCTGAGCAGACATCCCTCATTTTAGCAGCTCCACCCTCACTGAACACTACTTCAGTCTCTCACAGCTCATATGGTTGTGCAGAATATACATATGCCATCTCCACACAGCAAATAAACATGCTCCATCCTCTCATGTCTCCTACTAGTGACCAGACTTTACTTTTTCCACACCCACAGAGCAACTAATCATGCTCCTTCCTCTCTTACATATGCCTGGGTTGCACATGCACCATGTCTGTAAGATAAGTAAGTATGGTCTGTCCAGCCTGGGGCCAAAGTGCAAAACTGGACCTTCTCTACAGTTTTATTAATTTAATCCTGATTTTCCACCCCACCTGAAAAGTTCTGGTTAACTCAACCAAATTCAGAAACAGTTTGAGATGATTAAAACCGTATTTTATTATTTTAGCATTTGCCTAAAAAAAAAAAATCACCCAGGTTTGTTGTGAAGTGAAAACATTTGATCATTAGCAGCATGTTTTAAAACAAAGAAGATAGTTAAATTGTGGCTGCAAAATATACATATATAAAGTACATTTAAATATAAAATACACATTTGCAGATACATGCAAATATTTGCAAAGTTTGGTAGAGCAAATATTTGTACTTCATGTGTAGAAGCACATTTTGAAACTGTTCTGAGTTTTCCATCATTTCCAGTTCTCCTCTCTCCTGCCTCCACTAAGAAATTCCACATGCAATTTCAACAAAATTGAATCAATAAAACAAAAAACAATAACAAAGCAAACCACCAACTCTGGGCTGAGGACAAGCCTGAGAAATTTCAGCCGAATTCTCTGTAAAGCTATACAGACCTAAAAATAGGACTCTGAATGAATGTGCTTTCTGAACCATGTCTGCAGGCTCAACTATACAATGAAATTCTATCAACCACTTAGACTAGTTAGAAGGGAACATATTGTAATGAAAAAGACATGTACTCCAAACCATTCAAACAGGTTTTTTTTCCCTTCCCCATCCCATAAAACAAATACATTGAAGATACATGAGGCTTCTTAGCTGATAGGACTAACAGCATCAGGAAAATCCCTATTGATTTCACTTTTAAAAGGAATTCACTTAGAGAGCAATAGGAAACAAAAGGCAGCTCTGATGAACCAAAACACCTTTTTTTTTCAAGTGTCACTTGAAAGAATGTAGCATCAAAGAATGTAGCACTCAGATGAGACAACTCTCTCTCTATAGTCTCTATTTCTACCATTTTTGTTCACTACAAGTCACAACCATACACTCTTTTCTGGTTCTTTTTAAACTAACTTGCAACACAAGAAACAATGCCATCTGAATGAAAACAAGATCTCTTATATTGGAAGGCTTCCAAATATTTTTATTTGTGATTACTCATCTTCAAAGCATATGATCTTGGATCATATAAAACCTACATACCCTACATCCAATGCGGGACTCTAACTATACAAAATACTAACATAAAAAGAGTATAGGTGGAAGTAGTTATAGGTAAATATTATTATTCATTACTTACACTTTTGTTGATATTTTACTTTACAGGAGGTTTGCAGAAAAGAATTGTCATACATTTATTATAAACTTGTGAAAGTCTTTTCTTATGAACAAATTAATGCATCATAACAGGTCAACTTTACTATAGTTCATAAAAGACAGGATAATACATTTTTTTAAACCAATCTGGCAAGTAGAGAGATTAATTCTCAGTTTTCAGAGATACATGGTTATTTTGTACTTCATATTAACTATTAAAATTTTGGCCATTTTTACACTGATGGGGAGTGGTATAGGACTAAAGGTTGGCATAAAAAACAGTTTGGATTTTTTTTTTTAGAATGGGTAGGACAGCTTTCAGCAAATCTTTGGGCAATGGGGCTAGCCACAAGAGGTTGAGAATGTTCAGTTCTATGTTCTGCCAGAGATTTCTCTGTGACCACAAGCAACTCACAAAATGGAGATAATATTACTTCTGAACCTCAAAGGGAATTCATGAGGATAAAGATTGAAAGGTTCTCAGATACTGTAATAACTACAGTATCATAAGCAGAGGTGTAACCGGCTAGCACTGTGCCCTGGACAACAGCAGCGCATGGTACGGGGCAGTGGACCGAGGTTCACTGCTGCTGGGAGAAATGTCACCTCTTTTTCTTGTTGCCAACATACATGTTGAGTGGCCACTTAGACACTAGTTTTAGCAGCAAAATAAGGAGGTGACCTCTCTCTCACCAACAGCATACCACCAGCTGCTGCTTGTGCACCTCATGCTGCTGCCTCTTCTTTGTCCTCCATGCTGTCAGAGCAACACCAAAGCCAGGGCCATTGCAGGGAAAGTGCAGGGCATGAACCTCAAGCACCCCTCAGCCAGTAGGTGTTTGGTGCCTCATTCTCTTAATAGACTTTACAAATTCTATAAGCTAGATGCACACATCCTTTGGCTTACCTTGACCATAAAGATGGCAGCTCCTCTTGTAAATCAGAGTTAAAATCTTCAAACACTTTCTGTGCTTTTTGAAACTCTTCCTCTGCCTATATCACAACAACACAGGTGGACTTTTATAGTCATGCCAAAATACAATGAAACGGGGACAATCTTGTTTTTATTAACAAAAGTACTTCAGGCTACTGTGCAAATACAGTTGTTTCAGTTTGCAAGGGATCTAGCAAATAGTATACCTGAGTATTTCTGGTTCCAGTGAAGTAAATGCCCCAGACTGGAAGTAAAATTCCATTTGTTATTTCAAAATGTGAAAAAAGAGATAGTTACCCATGTTAGTCTGAAGTCAGGCAGAAGGCAGGGTAGATTTGCACCTCACAGAATAATGAAAATTTAGCTCTTCTCCATCCCCTCTATAACTAGGTTATAACTAAAATTAAATTTTATAAATTTATAACTAAAACTTTAGTTCGTTCGTAAGGTGCAAACTCAGCCCTGCCTTCTGCCAAAATGTGAAAAGTCATGAGCTCCCCATAGATTTAATGAAAAACGTTAAACCTTTGGAGCCTGCTTCAAAGGTTCAAGACTAAATTAAATCTTCTGACGAATACAGGTTGAGTGTCAAATTTGTAACGAAACTGAAAACAAGCCTATAGAAAACTCACTTGGTAATGTCATTAACTTATAGTTGTATAGTTCACAGTCTGCGACCGATAAATAGTATAGAACAGATGAGCGTTTCCCAAACTTTTGATACCTGGGACATTTCTTTTTCTGGATTAAAATTGGTAACATATTTCACTCTTACATATTTCACCCTTACATATGAAAATTATATTTATGTTTATACATATATAAATTAATATTTCAGTATATTGTAATACAAATCTTACAATATTATTATATTACACATTTCACTCTCCACTTTCACCTATATTACAGTAAAGAATTATATTAATGACCTATTATGTGTGTGTGTGTCTGCCTGCATGCTTGCAGCAGAGTGTGCTGCTGGGACTCTATGGGTGAGAGGGGCAGAGGCAGCATGTGGGCTGCCTGGGAAGGGGTGGGGGAAGGCAGCAGTGGCAGTCCCAGAGAAGCATATTACATATAAATATTATATCTGAAAAGTTATACTTATAGGTATAAATATATAAATTAATATTTATAACTATAAATATACTTACAGGGTGGGAGAAGCAGAGGGGACAAGCTGGGCTGCAAAGCATGGCTCTGTCTGAATGTCTGACTGCCTGCCCACTTGCAGCGGAGTGTGCTGCTGGGACCCCAGGGGGAAGGGAAGGGGGGAGGCTGGGGCAACATCGGTGTTGACTGGGGAGTGGTAGGGGACGGCACTAGCAGCCATACGTGCTGCTGGAGTAGCTGGGACAGGTGCAGGATAGGGTGCCAGACAAGGGAGGAGAGCATTTACCTCCGCACACGGGGGATCTTGTGGCACATTTCCATTGCTCTCATGGCACACTAGTGTGTTGTGGCACACCCTTTGGGGATCATTGGAATAGACCTTGAATAAAAGCTTTGCACAAAAGTGAATTTTACCCAAACTCAAGCTGACTTCTGTCAGTATCACTTTCAAGTAACGTATTACCTTAGTAATTCTGCTTTCATCTTTTTTCTTTGAGCTCTGCAAGGCTTCTAAGTGATGTCTTGCACTGTCGTAGTCAACTAGCTTTCTGCTTCGCTTTGCAATGCGAGTCTGCAGAGAGTTACAAAAATAAAATTCAGAGCTGTTATCACAGGTGCAACCTTGATGTAAGTTTTGCTTTGATTTGTCTTTGAATCTTTCTAACAACTCTTCTTTTACAATCAAAACTTTATTTGCTATAATCTTGTATGGTGAAAGTGAGTTTAGGGAAAGAGATTAATAAGGAGCCTATTTATTGAGAATTAAGTACTTGACAAAGGTTTTGTGTATATCTAGCCTAACCATTGGGACCTTAGATATCAGTTTCATTATATGTATTTTGATCTGTATTGCTAGAAATCTCCAGCAACGCAAATTGACTCTTTAATCTATAATGTTGATACTATTTGTCTTTCCTTTTATATTATGTGGTATATATATATTTAATGAATAATTATTTTATTTTTCACATTCCTAAAAAATTTCTAAACACAAATCTCCCTAGGATTCCTTTGATACAAAATTGATCCATTCAATACTGCCATCATACAAAGGGATTTCCAATTAACGTATTATAGTTATTTTTCAATATTTAACATAACAATAAATGTGGGTCTTTGAAAGCTGCTAACTTTCTAATGATGCATACTGCACATAAAATTTCCTTTCACTTTCCTGTGCATCAAATCCTAGGCTGTAGCTAATAAAAACCTGGCATCTCTCAGGAGTGGAGTCAGGGCTTTAGGCCACCTTTGAGCATCCATAACTCTGAGCTCTCTTGGTATAGACTAGCTTCTTCTGTAAACTGGAAAGGACTATAGATAATTGTGTTGTAAGGGAGTCATAGCCATATCCCATAGACACATGGGGCATAGAAATATAGCTATATCCAAAGAAAAACCATTAAAATACCTCACTTGTATTCATTATTGGCCCTCCCATTTCATAGCATTTTTCCTTTTTTAGCCAAATACAGTGTTACTATGCACTTAGACAGCTGATTAATTTTAAGAATGCAAGTTTCATTGACTTTACATTTTAAGATTCAGGCTTAAGTATTTTTGCTGTATTAGGGGTAGCATGTATGTTACAGAAACTTGGGAGAAGCTAGAAGCATGTGATTATGAAATCCTTACAGAGGAGATATGGTTAAAACAGTCTAATGGAAGAGGACCTTTGCTCTGTATAGCAGCAATCTCTATAGACACTGAGACTGTTGAAACCACAAAAGCCATGTATGGCTTCAAATCAGAGATAGAAAATCAGTGACTTCTAAACATCCACAAGAGCATGGAAAAGCTGTTCTTATCACAATAGTTATTCTATAATTCCTTGATGGCTCAAGGGCTTGATCCAGCATCACTGAAGTTATACTACTCATATCTATAGGAGCAAGCAAAACCTTTAAAAAAAGTTTGTAATAAAAAGGTTAATTTACCTTGACTTCCTAAAGCAAAATACTTTGTTTTGTTCATTCAATAAAACAGTTCAGTCTGTGAATGGGTCCTGCTTATAAAATAGGATGTTTCATATGCCACCTAATAGGTGCCTTCCTATATACCCTTTATTTCATATTGCTTCTTTTTATGACACAAAAGTAATTGGTAAGCTTTAAAATCTTCCCTCCGTAGTAAAGCATTACTGTACTTTTATATCGGGAAACTGTCCCAGGTATGTATCCAGAGTCAGCAATGACCCATCCACCAACTTTTGATGAAAGTCTTCCCAGAGTTCATCACATTTCTGTAAAGAAAAATGAGATACAGAGAAATACAACTGAAAATTGCTTTAATTTAATTCCTCTCAAAACTTAGGGGAAATACTAATGTATATGACAAACTGCAATCTTTCTAAGATCTTTTTTTTTCATAAAGAATGCACATTCCAATGCAAGTTTCAATTTACAGTAAAATAGATTTTAATCAGGTAATCAATGCACCATTTTTGAAATAACAATAGGAGCAGCCTTGGAAATAACGGAACCAAGGATTACTAGTTCAAGCAGGCTGGTCATCAAGGTATTTTAGTTCCTATACAAGCTCATGGATGCATAATGAACCTTCCTTTAATAAGCAGCAAAATACAACTAAAAAAAAAATTAAACAAAAGTCATAGAGGGATCTGTAGTTTTAATTGTGTGGGCCTATATTTTTAAATACATTTAAATTTATGGGGGGGGTCATTTTTCCACCCCAGAAGAAGCCACTCCCCACATTAGCTTCTCAAATATTACCAAAACCAGAGTATTTGAGGGTTAATAGCCAAGCACACCTCACAGAAATCAGTGGATTTATTAGATTACTTGGATTCGGGATTTGAACCATTACTCCATCAACTGACAAAAAGGTCATTAGTTATTTATAGTGGCTGAAGAATAGTCCACTCCTATATTCAGTCTTGGAGGAATACAAACAATCGAGTTCTCCTGCCCATTTTAATGCAGCTGAGCTCTCTGGGAATACTGTAGAGCAGGGGTGGCCCAACCTGTGTCAGATGTGCCACAAGTGGCATGGGCAGCCTCTGTGCAGGGCCAGAAAGAGGGGCAGCCAGCATAGCAGCAGATAGGAAAGGAGGTGGAAAGCAGAGCAGCAGGAGGCAAAAAAGCAGAGCAGCTCATTGGGCAAGGGTCTGGGGCTAATTTGTGGCACAGGTGTCAAAAAGGTTGTCCACCACTGCTATAGAGAGAGGAGTGGAATCCCATGCCAGATGTACAGTGCTGGCACAAGAGCAAACTGCCTTTTTAAACACCTGCAGGACTTGGGTTTTCAATCTGGCAGATCACAAACAAATGTCAGAAATTCATAATCACCTATCAAAAGAGAAAGAGTTCCCAGCTAGAACTTAGTCAGATAAGAGGGAGAATTCAGGGGCTTTCCAATATGAAAAAGGCTAAGGAGTATTGTCCTGTCAGATTACTGATACCTTGAGAAAGCAGCATTCCTGGGGACTTTTTCTAGCCATACTGTTCTCAGTATGGCTAGAAAATCTACACGTGCAATTAGCATGTAGTAATAAACTCTGGCACAGTTCACACCAAAGTTTCTTGCACCTGGGTGCAGCATTTACACATGCTCCTGGGACTGCAGCACATAGAGCTGGGGCAGCACAGCCCCGGCGGGCAAAGGGCTTGGTGGTCAGCCTGCCAGCCCAGGGCTGCTCTGCCCCAGCTCAACATACTGCAGAGGGGCTGGCTGGAGCATGAGGGTGCTTCAGTGTTGGGCTAGCTGACAGGCAGTCCCCACACTGTAGTACCCTTATGCCTCAGCCAGCCCCAGTCACTGTCTGCAAGTGTGTTTCAGTATACGTAACTTCTCCATTGTAGGATAGTACTTCTCCCAGACAGTACTATCCTACAGCGGAGTTAATTAATTTACTGCCCCCTATTGTGGGTGCATGTGTAGATGCTGACACTTTACTGTGGAGCTAATTAGCCAACTCCACAATAAAGTGCATGTGTAGATGCACCCACTGTATGTTAATTACATGCCATAGTAAGACTCATTGTAAATAGGCTATGCCAGTATTTACTTCCTATCCTAATTGCAGCCTCTAGTGAATTATTATAATCCATTAATCACACTTTAAAAACTATTATTTATTAACATGATATTTAATCACAGTGGGGGAGACAGCAACAAAGTAGATCATGGCAAGTAACTGACATTGCAGCACATTTTCATCTGAAAATAATTTGCAGAGAAATTACAGACAAATTAAAACCTTGGAGGTTTTTTAAAAGCTAAAAGAACTGAAAAACATTGTTCAATAGTATTTCTAACCATCATCGCTTCTATTAAAGATCAATGTTATGCAAGATGGAACAATTAAGCAATAATCACCTATCTATCTGAATAGGTACTGTATTTACTCGAATACAAGATGAGGTTTTAAAAGCCCTTTATCTTACATTCACATACAAGGAAAACTCATTAAATAGATTGTCTATCATTGAACTGCTGTCAAAAGCAGCATGTGCTTAGTAATGGAAACCAACTATGAAGCTAATTAAATTCTACCAACACTGAACATGACTATAAAACACATTGGCTCCATTGGACAAACATGCTGATGAAAACCTGGGGTTTTTTTTTTACTCTTAAAAGAAAAACAGGAGGGTGTTCCTGCCACATGCAATTGGCACTGGGTTTGGAGGTACTGCAATAACAAGGCAGCACCAGGAATACCAGAGCCAGCCCTGAAACCATCCCCTTGGTGCCAAAAATGTTTGATCTTGGCAAAAAGACTGAAAACATTTTTATTAATACATTTTGTGTTCCAGGTCAAATCGGCCAAATCAGTTCTAAATCATATAGATTGAGCACAATGCAATCATTCCAAAAACCATATGGATTGAGCAGGAAGAACTCAATTATCTAAACACCACGTATGGCACTACAACCAATGCGCATCCTCTGTCCCAGGCTCTCACCCCGGTGACTTCAGATACTCCCTAATCCATTGGCAAGCATCTTATGTGCAGGTTAAAGCCTGGAGGTCTTGGGATTCAGATGCCTCCACTTGACCTTAGACCACAAGAGGCTGAGATTTTTAAAATTTTTTCGGGGGGCAAATTTATCATATTCCAGGTCAAATCAGTTCTGAATCCTCTCAATTAAGCAACACTCAATTGTTCAAACACTATATGTGGTGCTACAACTGGTAAGTATCCTCCACCCCAGAATTTTCAGACTTGGGCTTCAGATACCCCCAAATCCATTGGCAGGCATCCTACGTCCAGGCCCAATCCCAGAGGCTTAGGGCTTGGATTTGTCCAAGCCTCACTTGCCCTTAACCAAAGGCCACAGGAGGAAGCTAGGGAGGAGTTCCCCATTTCCATAAAGTAGGCATGTAGCCAAGATCCTCCCACTGGAAGCTGGCCAGTGGGGAGCTAATTACAAGACTCTCGTAGGGTGTCCTGTCCACAGTGCATCAGATGGGGGTACGCCTCCACTACACAATGCCATATAAATCCACCTACTTGATCTTAGCCCACAAGAGGCCCAGATGCTGATGGGAACCTAAAACAAGAATAGATTACTGCAGCCCATCTGAATAAGATTCATCTAATACCCCACTGCACTTAGTCGCCCCTCAGTACTGACTCTTTTCCAAGTCACAGTGAGCCACTACAATGAACATATTTTCAACTTCTTCACTCCCACAGCTGAACTGTTCTTTTCTTTCCCATTTCCAATGATTCCTGTTTCTTCAATAGCCTTAAATGTCTGGCAAACATCAGCAAATGCCCCCATCAAATAGTTCACCTGGAATCCCTCTGTTGCCCTCTCTCTCATCCTGTTGCGTATGATTAGTGTGGCCCCACCATCCATGAGGTGGACCTAGACAAGGTTGTCCTGCACCTCATCTGCTTATAAATTTTTGGAGGAGCCCAGGACTTGTGACAGAACACCTTGTTCCAGTCGGGAGGTGGCGAGGGGGCTAATTAGGACATGGATCCTTTGGGAGGGAGTATATGGAGTACACATATGGAGTGAGCAGCTGATTGAAACACTGCTGACTCTGCTGGGGCCCAGTCCAATGAACTATATGATAAATCATGAGCCTTTTGGATTTGGACTGATATCATGCATAGTTGAACATCATATGCAGGGACAAGGGGTCAGTGGAAAGAAGACTACAACACACCCAGCAGGGGCCAAGCTCAACATGAGCAAAAGCACCTGTCTAGTCCTGGGTAAGGTCAGGGATGTGTTGCACCTGGGGGTTTTCATCCCCCTCAAGGGGGTAAAAATCCTCAGGATGGAGTTTGACCCAGAGCTGACGGGGCAGAGGGCATGCAAAAAGATGGAGGCCAAAGTCAGACAGAAACTGGGGCTATGGCAATTGTGCTGCCTGTCAATGGGAGGTGCTTGGCACTGATGAAGGTAGTGCTACTGCTGATATTTCTACATACCCTAGTCTTTGCCCGCTCAGAAGAAGTCATTCACAGAATCCAAAGAGCCATGTGTGGGGTTCTTTGGAACTCCACATGGGAGAAAGTGGTAAGGACCAAGCTGTACGAAGTGAAATGGTCTAGAGGCAGAGGAATGCCAGATGTCCTTTTCTTCCTCTGAACCAACTACATGAGCCAGGTTTACAAACTGGCAACACGGATGTAATCCAAAACAGCCAGCTCTGTCAAGTATTTTTCGGGGCAGTTGCGGTGATAGTAGCAGGTGTACAGAACAACCAATGGGAGCCCATGGACCATAGTGTCCCCATGGTTCTATGAGTTCCTGAAAAGCTTCTGGAAGAAATACAAGCCGCACAATGCTACCCTGGTGACCCTGTTGAACCACTGCAAGATACCAGAGGTGGTAAGGGCAAGAGATACCATATCACCTGCAGATTTTCTACCTGGTTACAGCTACCAGGCCATGTGGGAGCAAATCTTCCACAAGGACCTGCAGAAAGAGCATAGAGACCTAAATTGGCAGGCATCCCATAGGGCACTCCCCATATGGACATGGTAAAAGAGTGTAAGGCAGAGAGGTCCATCGAACTGCCTGAGACAGATCTGCTACTGGCTGGCAGAAACAATCAACCACCTCTTCTGGGACTTCCTATATGCCAAATAGGTGTGGAAGGAAGTCTGTGCACTCCTGATGGTGACAGATTTCAGAAAGCTGACCAGAGAAGTGATCCTCTACGGGCACTTGACCAAACAATAAGGGGCCCCGACAGCTCACTCTAACCAGTTCATCTCCTGCTTCAGGTATTCCCTGTGGAAGGCCAGGAACCTGCTCATAAACAGACACTCAGAACTCAGTCAAGGACTGTATTAAAATGGCTGAGTGAAATGTACTGGTACAACAGAAAGACAAAGTAGGACAACAGAAAATAAACGGTAGACCTCATATGGTACAGAGGGGACTGGCATAGACTTTTCAGAGGCAATTCCTCTGGAGAGAACAATGAGTGAAAGCACTGGAATGGTGAGGGGCACATGGATGCGCGGGTGTGAACTGTGTAATGGGACTAAAATAGTTTAACTGTCAAAGTATCCTTTGGTCGGCCAAGTGAACCACAGTCATCACTTGACATTACACACACACACACACACATATATTGTATTATAATTTTTTTTGCAAAAAAAAAGTTTGTACTATGCATAAGTAGATAGAAAAGTTCTCCTTAAAAGTGTGTTTATGGAATACCTGTGCTAAAATTTGCAGCAGTTTCAACAAAAGGTAAAAACAAAACAATTTTGGATTAATTAAGCCTATATGCAAATTACTACAGGCATGTTTTTCAAAGTCAGTGTTTTCAAATTTGCCCCTCACTTCCATGTCCTCAGTGAGAGCAGTCTGTCAGTAAGGGGGAGAAGGGGAGAGCAGGAAGGGGCTGCAGGGGGAAGAAGTTGGGAGGGCAGAGGGCACGGGGACCACCTAATCCCCAGATACAGTTTCCCTGCTCTAGAAGTGAGAAGGGAACAAATTCAAGACAAGCCTCCAATAATTCGATTCTATATCTGGACATTTTTAACAAATTTATATATTTTCTATATAAAGAACCTAATTATGGTGGGTCATCTTATATATGAGTAAATATGGTGAACTTCTCATTCTTGTGAACTATACTTTCAACTATTCATAAAAGTATGACATGACATCTGAAGTTCAGATTACAGTGAAAATGGCTAAATGGCACAAACTTTTCATGTATTACTCTGCTTGAAACAATATTCATAAAAGTGGTAACATGTAAGATTTTCCAAATGTGGAATAGAGAGCAAAGACCTAATTTTGTTCTCAGATTTTGGCCATTCTCATTTATATCAATCTAAATCTGATGTCAGAGGAATTACTCCATTGGGATGTAAGTCCAAACAACATATTTATTGGGCATAAGTGGTAAAGCAGTCAGTTGCACTGATTTGGCATTCAGCACATGTAAGTTACCATTAGCAGACAGGAGGGAGGGAAAGAGAACTGCAGGAAAAGCAATCAACAAGGACATCTGATTAGGGTGCTATATCTTAGTCTCCTTTTATTTGCTTTTCCTGCAATTCCTCCCACACTGAATGCCAGATAAGTACAAGCTGCATCAGTAAAAAGTTACACCCTGTTGTCATCAGTAATAAATCTGCCCACAGACATCCATAGGATTTTATCTTATATATACTAGATCTAAATTTGGTCCCTACTATTTATTACACTCTAAAGACTGAAACAGAATAAAAACCACCCTACCAGACAAAGCCAAAATATAAAAGATCATGTTCCACTCCACTGAAGACTGTGAAGTTATTCCAGACTTCCACCAATGTGCAAAAGATTCGTCTCTAGTTAAAGAAGAATTTGTATGCCTTCACATATTCTTTCTATTATTGCTGGCCCTACCACTATAATAAAACACTATGGCAAAGTATAGACAGTCAAAAAGCCCAAGGCTGAATCAATTTAATCTTTGCAGGTTAGTCTAAACTGTGTAGATTGAATCCATAATGGAAATGCAGCTACATGCTTGCAGTGGCCAAGGCCAAAAGCCAGGGGTGTTAGAGCATGCCTCTCTGCTCAGCTGGCCCACCCATCCTGCAATGGGGTATTTGGGACACTGGGGGACTCTGAGTTAACTTGAATCTAGAGAGGATCTGGAACAGAAGTTCCATAAACCAATTTAACCTAATCAGTTAAGTCTGATACTACATCCACCCAGGTTTATCTTAAACCAGTTTCAGTCATTTTCAAAGTGGTTTACGTGCATTGAACTTCTGTTGTGTTCCAGATTTGAACCAATTTTCTATCACTTATACCAGTTTATGTGTAATTTCTGTCCCTAGCCTAATGGATTACCATATCTAGTGATACAGAAAATTTGACTGAAGAAACAAAATGCATATAAACATGAAAATGTGCATATAAGATGCCTTGTACCCTGAAGTTTCCTTTCTTTCCATATTCTTACCTCTCCGATCATTTTCACATCTTCCCGGCCATACCACTCTGGCTCGTATACTTCATGAAGAGACTCAGTAAGTTTCTTAGAGGCCTCTTGCATGCCTACAATTGCATAGAAAATAAGAAACAGTGAGACATATCTTTATTTCATTCCACTTTCTTCCAATATGATTCCCTCTTGTCTATTAAAAATATGGATAAAAAACCTTATTTCAGGACAATTACTATCATCTGAGATTAACAAAATATTTCCTGTCTGGTTAGATTATTCCTTAATGACTATGCTGGGATGGATTATGTCTGTATATCAAACGTTGATACAAAGTTTGTACCTTTACATTCTAGACAGTGACAATCCACATGAAAGGCATGCAGTACCTTGCTAAAGGACTGCTACAGAGAAGTCATCAAAACAATAATTTTGAGTTAACAATTTTGAATCCCTTTCTGGAAGAAGTTTACTGTGTGGATGCTAAAAACATAATCATGGAAGAAGAACAAGGCTTAAGAATCCCAGGAGTGCCCTGAGGCATGAATGATGCATGCCTCTGGAGGCTAGGGGGGCATGGCGGTGGTGGGAGCACGGAGGCAGTAAGCAGGAGCTCCTGCAGACATCGCTGTCAGCAGTGTGTGTGTGTGGGGGGGGTTAGCAAGCACCAACCAGGGGTCAGCAAGCACCTGCCAACACCGCCAGCAGCATCAGTGGTGGTCAGCAGTGATCGCAGACTGCCTGCAGATGCTGTGCCGTTTTGTAGGGGGTATACCGCCATGCTTAGGGTGTGCACGTGCACCCTCTACGTGTCACCCCTGCACTGAGGAGAGATGCTATTTAAGAGAAGGCTAAGCACTTCCACACGCCACAATCACCATTGTTTTCAAAGATCTAGGACTTTCAAACATATTTAAGAGAGAAATGATTATGTTTAAGAAATTACTATTCCAAGTCTGTGTTCTTCGCTTTTCTGATATATTGTTTCCAAACATGCTGGACTAGAAGCCTATAGTTTCTACAGAGTGATGGCTAAGGGGCATGGGAAATCTGTGGCACTGGTTTCAAGGTATAAAAAAACCCTAGGAAAAGATTTAAGCAAGATTCTGAGCTAGGAACTAGGGCTAGACTCTGCCCAGACCCAGAAGGTCCTATTGTGACAGACTAATGTCTGCAGTATACTGAGCCAAATAAACACTGAGAAGGTTAAAACCTTTCTCTAAAGCAATAGTCACTGCTGGTAACAGAGGAACATTTTTAGTATCATTCTATAATATATTATAAAGTCTGATGTAAACACCAATGTAAGCAAGGAGTAACTTCTTCCAATAAAGTTAGCAAAATTAACACCAGTTAATCCTATGGTGAACCCTTGATCTCAGTGAAGTCAGTGGCTGGATCAAGACATGCAGGCACGTGTGGTTTGTGGAATTGCAAACCTCTTTGCAGCACTACAAACTGCACAAGTTACACATTAAGCAGTGTGCGGTGCTGCTCATTTTTAGTGCCAGGGCAAAATTTGCTACTGGGATTTCCCCAAAGCAAAAAAGTCTTGGAAAAAAAATGGCACAACTCATGACAAATTAACAAGTGCCGGGACAAATGCAGAGTCCAGAGAGCAGGCAGCCTTGAGCTGCTGCTCCCCTGCCTCTGCATACTTTAGTGTGGGGCCTTCACTGCAGAGCCCCCATGCTGAGGCACACCACACCCCAGCCAGCTGCTCTGTGGCTGGCTGAGGTGCATTGTGCCTCTGAGTGCAGGCTGCATGTTCCTCAGCGCAGGGGCTCTGAAGCGAAGCCTGCAAAAACAGAGAGCAGCCAGCCCAAGGCCGCCTGATCCACCATCTCGAGGCACACCATGCCTCAGCCAGGCAGGGAGCAGCTGGCTGGGTGCAGGGTGCTTCAGGATGGGGGCTCCACTGCATGTGGAGATGGGGGAGCAGGCAGCCCTGGAGTGACTAATTATCTCTGCAGTAAAGCATCACTATCTACATGAGCGCTGGTTTTAAGGAGCAATAGAATAATTAATAGGGGTGCGTAACGCTTTGGTCGCCAATTTGATTCAGAGAAGTTTTGCACCGATTCAGAGGCCAAATCACTGAATCTGAACTGAACTGGGAGACAAAAAAATTCTCCAAATAGATTTGGAAAAAATTTGGAAAAAGATTCAGAGATTTGGCAATTCAGAAGGCAGTCGTGCAGAGGAACAGAAACTGAGAAGAGGAGGGGACCGGGGGTGAAAGACTGACATCTGTAGTTGGGCAGTGACTTTAATCTTTCCCTAAGTCCCCTTCCAATCGAAGTGTTCTGGGGGAGGGATATAGAAACAGCATATAAGCCTCTGTCTGCAGGCTTTCTGTGCCTTTTGTGAGCTGTTTCTGCCTGAGCAAAAGAGGGGCAGGTAGCTAGCCCAAAAACAGGTGGGTGGACAGATCTAACCAGCACTGGGAAGGCCCCCTATTACAGGCTACCATCCCTGCTGTTTTTATCCCACTGTGCCTTAACACACACACAAAGTCACACATGTCACAAGTTTTGCTTTCAGAAGCTTGAGGTGCAGTTTCCCAGAAACCCCTGCACCTATCTCCTTGAAACATGGCTTCATGCCCTCAGAAAGGGCAACCATCCCTGCTGTTTTCATCCAAATCTGCTCTTCAAGAGGGATGTGGACAACATGGAGAGGGTCCAGAGGAGGGCCATGCGCATGATCGGGGGCAGCAGGGCAGGTCCTACGAGGAGAGGCTAAGGGACCTGAACCTATTCAGCCTCCACAAGAGAAGGCTGAGGGGGGATCTAGTGGCCTGTTACAAACTAGTCAGAGGGGACCAGCAGGCATTGGGGGAATCCCTGTTCCCCCAAGCACTACCAGGAGTGACCAGTAATAACGGTCACAAGCTGGCAGAGGGTAGATTCAGGTTAGACATCAGGAGGCGCTACTTCACAGTCAGGGCGGCTAGGATCTGGAACCAACTTCCAAGCGAAGTGGTGCTGGCTCCTACCCTGGGGGTCTTTAAGACAAGGCTTGACAATCACCTTGCTGGGGTTGTTTGACCCCAGTACTCTTTCCTGCCATGGCAGGGGGTTGGACTTGATGATCTGCTCAGGTCCCTTCCAACCCTACCAACTATGAAACTATGAATTGGCTGAATCTGAATCCAACTTGAATGCTTCCCTATCCGCACAGGCCTATTAATTAACTCCACAAAAATGCTCATGTAGATGGTGACCAGGCTGGCTGGGATATGAGGGTGCTAAAGTTCAGGGGCTTCCTGCTGCCCACCCCTGGACTTTAGCACCCTTTTCTCCCAGCCAGCCCCTCCACTGCCCAACCTGAAGCGAAGGGCTGTCTCCACCGGGCACCCTGCCAGCCCAAGGATGCTGTTTCTCGGCTCTAAATGCTGCAGTCTCAGGCACTTGTGAAGATGCTGTTCCTGAGAACAGCTGACTCCAGTGCAAACTGCAGCAGAGTTTATTGCATCTCACGAACTGCATGTGTAGATACACCCAGGGAGAATTTGGTCATTGTTTTCATAGGATATAATACTGGTAGGATTCTAATACTGCCCCTTCCTTTGTGCCCCTTTATGTTACGGATCAGGCCAGGACTAGCACTTCCTTATTTTAAAAATGATAACCAACCACATTTAAATTTTTATGTAAAGCTGATTAAATAAGTTGAATTCAAATGGCAACAGAACAGAATGCTTAAAAATAAATACTCACTTATAACTTTAAAAAAAATTCAACTAACATCTTTGCTTGCTGCAGCATGTCTGCTGTGCCTTAGAAATATCTGTGCTGTAATTTTCTGAATTAACTATTATTTGACCAAATTAAAACAAGGGTATTTTTTATTTCCTCTACAAAGAATCCCCTACCCCCAGCACTGGAGTATTCTGAGAACCAGTTGGACTTTTGCATATGATGCAGAACCTGCCCCTTTTCCCCATCCACTCTCTAAAAACACACAAGACAGGCATATTTAGACACAAAGAATTTTTCTTGTTATAAAGAATGATCCTCCATGGATAACAGAAGGAAAGGCAGACACACGCACATGCATAAGGCACAGCTTACACCCAATTCCTGCTGGGGAAAGTAAAGAGGAGGAAAGCTAAAGTGTGTACGTAGAGCCCCCTATGTGTAGGTCAAGCACAGTGAGAATACTTGCACAGACAGCCTAATCTTTGACCATTAAATCAATGGTTGTTGATTGATTAGATTCTGGGACTACATCTTCTCAGGGCTCCTGAGTCAAGACAAGCTGGAGGTGAAGCAAGGGTGTGAAGTACACCTCATCCTGCCCACATACAAGGTCAGTTGAACAGACGGAGTTTGGAGTGGCACAGTAGCTGAGCTTTCCATTACTGTGCTCCCTGGGGCTGGCACAGCTCTGAACCTCTCTTATGCAGAGCTACTAGTTAATGCTATGATTTAGCCTAAATTGAATGTAAAGACTGAAGGGGGATCTTCTTTCCTCTGCTCAAATTCGTCTCTTTCTCTGGATACTGTTAAATGATCCCTACTGAGGATGTTGTATCAATGCACCATAAAAATATTTCTGGAGAGAAGTGGGAGGGAGGAGCTGTCTCAGCATCTACCCGACTGCACCAAAATGGAGATGATTTTCAAGTATTTTCTTAAGTAGTACTCTGTTTCAAATCCTTTTTTTTACACTGCTGGCAAATTAATCAATTTAGGCTCTCAGAAAAGAAATGATATAGTACTGCTTCATATCAGGAAGGGTCTCCTCCCCTCTTACCTGCACTTGAAACATTCTGAAACATCATTCTTCTGCTCTTGTGCCCTTGAGCATACTGCCAACTAAACCTGCAACATATGTTCCTACAGTATGCACCCTGACAATGCTCTTCTCTTGACCTTTCTGCAGTTTACATTCAGCTCAAGCACAGATATGACACTGTATAAAAAATAAGGGCTTATAATCTTTACTGACATGTATGCTTTTCTCTTTAAATATTCTAGAACCTAGTCATACCTCAGTCTGAATAAGAAAAAAGATACACTAATCTACCATATTTGACCTACATCAAAAACATACCAAAATTATAAAAATGATTTGTCAATGCCTAGTAATCCTTTCTACATTCTTG